GTGCTCATCTTCCCAGTGACCAAGCCCAAGACTGGAATTTAGCCGGTTCGCAGGCACCATGCCTGTGTGAAATGAGTTTGGTGGGTCTCAGGCCAGTTCTCATGGGACTGGTGTCCACATTAACCAAAATTGCTGCTACTGGCCCCATTGCTGGCAAGCTCAGCAGAGAGGCCAAGCCATGAACAGACTACGTGGAGTCTCACCCTGAAGAATTCTAGACCAAAGCGCAGGCACACAGCCTGGTGGAGCTGGCAATGCCTCTGCCCCTGCTGACCTCCTGTGGAGAGAGGACTTCAGTCTCCAGGGCTGGTTGTTAACACAGTGCTAAATACACACACATATACGCTCGTCAGAGTTGGCTTCCTGACTCTATTGTTCTCAGTCCAGCTCTGTAGGTTTGCACTGAACTACCTACCACGTCCCCGCCAAATGAGCTCACAATTTAAAGGCACAGTCACAGAACACACCCAGCCTGGAGTGGGAGGGGGAACAGGATTCACCGTCCGGGGACTTGATGGAACCGGGAGCTGTCAGATAGCATGGGGGCTGCCTGGAGAGGTTGTTCCAAGCACAGCCAGTGGAGCGAGAGACGGAAGGCAGGCAGGAGCAGGCGACGGGTAGGTGAAGCCAGGGATGCATGTCAGAGGATTTGATGTGCACAGAGATGCAGGAAAGCGCAGGGTTAGGGTGTAACAGAGAAGCCTGACATTTCCACATCAGGAAATGCAGGGGACACAGTGCAGAGTGTAAAAAGAAGAGGGCCATAGGGTCAGAGTATCAGAAAAGGAAACATGGAAAGTAATTGGCTACTGCTTAATATGAGCAGAGGGTAGAAAATCTAAGCCAGATTTGCCTCTCCTGTCGCAAGGACCTGCTGCTGTCAGAAATGGGGTGGGGGAAATAATTACCCTTCACAGCACCCACCTTGGCCTAGTATCTGCACCTGCACCAGGCACGCTACAGGGAAAAGCAGGTTTGTGAGCAGCTGCCCTCAATTTAACGCTGCGGGGGGCGGGGGGGGCTAATTAAATGTATTACAATTGACAGTGCTAAACAGAGAGGCGTCCGTACATGCAAAATGAAATGGACCCAGGCAAGCAAAAATCCCTTCATTTCCCTAGACTCTTGTCTGCCTTTGGAGGTTACCTGTCTAAGGGATATGAGCCACTTTAATTGGACTTTTATATTCTTTGTGTACCTGGAAGATTATGGCCACTTGACATGGCTTTAAAGCAATTGCAGTCATTCGGAGAGTCATCCTCAATGCCATATAATCAGAGGAACAAGTTAAAAGGCAAGCCACGGAGATGCAGCTGAAACAATTAAGACTGTAAAAGGAATTGTAATGTGCCTAGCAACAGGGTCCAGTAGACAGAACACTGGACTGGGAACTAGGAGACCTGGGTATCAACTCTGCAAGTCGCTTCACCACTCTGTGCCTTGGTTTTCCCATCTGTGAAAAAGGGCTAATGATCCTCTTTTATCAAATGCTTTGAGATCGATGAGTGAGAAGTACTGGGACAATCTGGGGAATCTGTCTATATACAGCTCATGAGTTTTGTTTGATATTGGCGATTGCATTTTGAACGTGGGGCTGGTTGTCTTCTCAGTTGTCTTTTTACCTCCATGTTGAACTGAAATTCCCAGGAGTGGTGACACAGGGTTAACAGTGGGGAGTTTTTAAAACTTCATGGTCCTCTATTCCCAGGGAAGCACCCTGAGACAAAGAATTGGCTACAGAAGCACCAGTCTGCACAGGTGGGCTGGTAACTAAGCAATGGCTTACCTGGTGGGGGACATTGATCACCTGACAAGGCTGATCAGAGGGTCACATGGCAAAGGAACTGAAGGTTATAAAAGAAAGGCTCTTATTGGCCATCGGGGGGCTAGAAGAGAGTATGCATGCATAAAAGAGGGTACTCACTGCAGTGAGCAGACAGAAGTTCCATGATTTGGAGGAGAAGCTATAAGAAAGGAAGGACCCCCAGAGCACTCTGACCTAAGCCCAAAGAATGCTCCCGAGTGGTGAGGAAACTGAGGTAGGGAAATGTGTGTGTTTAATATTTTGTCTGAATCTTTATATCGTCTGTGCTGTCCCAAGTAAGAGCGAGTGGTTTAGAATTCCCTTTTGCAAAGCCTGTGTTATGTGGTTCAACTCTCCTGAGGTCCTGAAATGGTAAATGGTAAACCAGCGCTGGTGCTGGGAAAGGCATGGGGCAGCCTACCTACTCTCAGGACTTAGGCAGTTGGACTGTGGGGTCTCAGTTCTCAGAAGGGGGTGGAAGATACAGGATCTGCACCTGACAGTGTGCCTAGAAAACCAGAGGCGGCGTCCAAGCACTGCTGGGACTCAGGAAGTTTAACGGCGTGGGAGGAACCCAATGCACCTATCTGATAAGTGTCCAGAACTAGGCCTTTGTCAGGCACTTTCGTACCTTGAACCTGAACCATTTAAAACCACCGAGAGTTTGGCCACTGACCCCGGTGGGAGCTAGTTTGGGGCTCGTAAGGCTACGCATTCCTACAGGATGCACACAGCTCAGAGCCCCACTGAAAGGAGGAAGAGGCTGGTCGATCTAGCGTCTAGGGCACTGGTCTTAGATTCTGGAGACCGGCGTTCAACTCCCTGCTCTGCCCCAGATTACCTGTGAGACTTGTTTAGGCCTCAGGTCCCCACCTGTGAAACAGGCATAACAGACCAGCCCTGCCTCACAAGCTGTTGTGAGGATAAATGCATTAAAGACTGTCAGTGCTCAGGTCTGAGAGAAACGGGGGCCATGTTAGTACCTAAGATGCGTACACAGAAGGATTTTTATGGGGCACAGTGTGCGTGTGTTGAGGTCCAGAACATTCCTGTGGAGCTCATGAAATCCTCTCCATTGACACTAGTCCTTATGGCAGTCAAAGCAGGATTGGCCCTTACACAAAATTCCACCTCAAGACGCTACACATGGATCCTTTCACTAGATTAGATCAGGGGTTCTCAACTTTTCCAGACTTCTGTACCCTTTTCAGGAGCCTAATTTGTCTTGCGTACCCCCAAATTTCACCTCACTTAAAAACTACATGCTTACAAAAATCAGACACTATACATGCAAAAGTGTCACAGCGCGCTATTACTGGAAAATGGCTGACTTCCTCATTTCTACCATAGAATTATAAAATAAATCGATTGGAATATAAATATTGCACTTACATTTCAGTGTACCCGAAGCCTGAACCTCACTGCCCAAGCCCGGTCACCCAGGGCTGAAGAATGTACCTTAGCTTTGTGGGGGCCCCTATTGTATGGAGCCCCGGGCAATTGCCTGGTTGCTACCCCCTAATGTCAGTTCTGCACTTGCAACCCCCAAAACCTGTCCCATGACCCCCGTTGGAATTATGATCCCCAGGCTGAGAAACACTGAACTAGGCAAATATCTAGATGAGGTGGCGTACCCGCTGGAAGACCTCTGCATACCCCTGGTTGAGAACCGCTGGACTCTATCGTCAGTCAAGTGCCTTTTTTCTTTTTTTAAACCCCTGAAGGAGATTTTTACAACTTCTGTGATCAAATGAGGGCACGTGGCTGCCCACACTAAACCTACTGCATGATCAGTTCAACCTATCCAAAAATTCCCCAACAGGAAGCTTTCCCGTTGCCTCCTTTCATCTCCCCTGTTGGATAGGAAGATAGTTGTCATAATTGCCTAGATACCTACCACTATTCCCCGCCCAGGCTGTAGTCACAGTGATGTCGTCTATGTAGACAGAGGGGGTTGTATATAACACGACCGGCCGGTGAATTCCAGCGTAGTTAAAGAAATCAAACTTTGTGTTCTGAACAAAATAACCCCTAGGGTACCTGTGAGGGAGGGGAAAGGGTTACATTCCATTTCACAAGAATTAAAAAGCAAAGTACAGATGTTAGCGATGTACTATTCAAATACTCCTGCAATAGACCACATTGTCCCTTTCAACAAACACGTGGACAAGGGGGATCCAGTGAATAGAGTGTACTTGGACTTTCAGAAAGCCTTTGACAAAGTCCCTCACCAAAGGCTCTTAGGCAAGGTAGGCAGTCCTGGGATATGAGGGAAGATCCCCTCATAGATCAGTAACTGGTTACAAGACAGGAATTACTCCGTATACAAAATTATTCAAGATAGTTAAATCCAAAACTGACTGCAAAGAGTTACACAGGGATCTCACGAAACTGGGTGACTGGGCAACAAAATGGCAGATGAAATTCAAGGTGGATAAATGCAAAGTAATGCACATTGGAAAACATAATCCCAACTATACATATAAAATGATGTGGTTTAAATTAGCAGTTATCACTCAAGAAAGGAGTCACTGTGGATAAATCTTTGAAAACCTCTGCTCAATGGGCAGCGGCAGTCAAAAAAAGCTAAAGGAACCATTAGGAAAGGGATAGATAAGAAGATAGAAAATATCATATTGCCTCTGTATAAATCCACAGTACACCCACACCTTGAGGACTGCAGGCAGTTGTTGTCACTTCATCTCAAAAAAGATCTATTATAATAGGGAAAAGTACAGAGAAGGGCAACAAAAATGTGTAGGGGTGTGGAACAGCTTCCATAGGAAGTGAGATTTAAAAAGACCAGGACTATCATTTTAGAAAAGAGATAACTAAGGGGGGGGATATGATCTAGGTCTATAAAATCTTGAATGGTTTGGGGAAACTGAATAAGGAAGTGTTATTTGCCCCTTCACATAACACAAGAACCAAGGGTCACCCAATGAAATTAATAGGCAGCAGGTTTAAAACAAACAAAAGGAAATTTTTTTTTTCACACAATGCACAATCAACCTGTGGAACTCCTTGCCAAGGGAAGCTGTGAAGGCCAAAAGGATAACTGGATTTGAAAAAGAATTAGGTAAGTTCATGGAGGATAGAGCAATCAATGGCTATTAGCCAAGATGGTCAGGGATGCAACCCCTGCTCTGGGTATCCCTAAACCTCTGACTGCAAGAAGTTGGGACTGGCCAACTGGGGGATGGATCACTCAATAAATTATCCTGTTCTGCTCATTTCCTCTGAGGCATCTGCCACTGTTGAAAGACAAGATACTGGGCTAGAGGGACCACTGGTCTGACCCAGTATGGCCGTTCTTATGTTCCAACATATTTGCTATTAATACTACAGGGATTAACATGGCCTAATAGTTCACAAATTACTTGAAGGTGCTGAATGAGTTCCTATGCTGTGATGATTAACGAGAGTAACTCTGGTGTGTAATTTCCACCACAGCCCTGGTACAATTCAGTGAACTCACTTAGACTCGTCTGTCATGAACTGAATGGAGCCGGGAGGCAGGGTCTGAGGTGTCAGCGTATTGTTGAGCGCAATGGTGATGCGACACAGAGCTCCGGGGCTGCCCTGAACAATCCTGCTTATGTCTGCTTCAAAGGGGAGGTGGCCCCCTTCATGCTCCGTAACCTGCACTCCATTGACCCACTGCAAAAGAAGAAACCGCATGGGCGGAGTGGCAGCATTAGATATCACAGGGAAGCCTGGGCTAGGGGGGGAAGAACATGACCTCCCTGAACACTAATGCTGGGGTCAGAGCTCTCCTTCCAAGGGCCCACCCCTGCAGCTCTTCTAGGCACCTAACTCCCAGTGGAGTCACACAAAGCCAATATCCCCTTCATGGGTGCTTCGGGTGCATCAAAATCTGGTGTCCTTCAGCCCTGCAATAGGGCAACACTTCAGCTACTAGGTCAGAGGACCAATGAAGCTAGAGCTGGAAAAGCACCACCAGGTCCTTGTTCTGAGCCCTCTGCACTTTGGACTCCAGATCTGTGGCTTGGCTCCACTTCTTATTTGCAGACAACATGGAAGCTGCAGCTGGACTTGCGAAGGGAAGAACTGCAGAGTGCTGACTAACTAATAGGCCAGGTCTACACTACGGACCTATGTCGGTATAATTCCGTCTGTTGCTCAGGGGTGTGGATTTTTCCCTGAGCGACATAGTTATGCCAAACTTAACCCCCGCATATAGACAGAGCTGTAGCTGGGAGAGGTTCTCCCACCAACATAGCTACTGGATCTCGGGGAGGTGGATTACGCCAATGGGAGAGCTCTCTCCCCTTGCCGTAGGAGCGTCTTCACTTAAGTGCTACGATGGTGCAGCCACATCAGCGTTGCAGTGTTTTTAGTGTAGAATAGGGGTGGGCAAACTATACCCGCGGGCCACAGCCAGCCCGCCAGCCATTTTAATCCTGCCCTTGAGCTCCCACTGGGGAGTGGGGTCTGGGGTTTGCCCCGCTCCAGTCGGGGAGCAGGGTTGGGGCCCGCACAGCACGGCTCCCGGAAGCAGTGGCATGTCCCCACTCTGGCTCCTATGCATAAGGGCAGCCAGGGGGCTCCGCGCTACATGCTGCCCCCACCCCAAGCGCTGCCTCCACAGCTCCCATTGGCCATGAACCACGGCCAATGGGTGTCTGCGAATGGGGCAGGATATAGCAGAGCCGCCTGGCCATGCCTCCGCGTAGGAGCTGTAGTGGGGATATGCCACTGCTTCCGGGAGCTGCTTAAGGTAAGCGCCGCCCGGAACCTGCACGCCTGAGCCACCCCCCTGCATCCCAACCCTCTGCAGCCCCAGCCGGAGCCCTCACCTCCTCCTGCACTCAAACCCCAATTTCATGAGCATTCATGGCCCGCAATACAATTTCCATACCCAGACGTGGCCCTCAGGCCAAATAGTTTGCCCACTCCTGGTGTAGACCATAGGTGCTGGAGCTTGGGGTGCTGCCCTGCCCCCTGGCTTGTAGTGGTTTCCATTATAAACAGGGTTTACTGTTTAGTTCAATAGCTCTCAGCACCCCCACTATAAAAATTGTTCCAGCACCCGATGTAGACATGCCCGCAGTGTGTTGTCAGAACACACAGAACTGCCACATTCTTCTATAATACAGGATGTGGGGGTCCCCAAGGGCAGCTTTTACTGCGGGTATTTCAAGAGCCTCTGAGCAGGGCGGACTGCATGGCGAATTGTTCACCAGGCCACCATACTTACAACTATGGAGTAGTAATGGGCACTGCCAACCCGAAGCACCACGCGGGTGTTGAGGGCATTCAGAAGCCAGCTCCTGGGAAGCAGCACCTCTTTCTCATACCAAACCCAGCCAGTATATTGCCGCAGGTTGGGATCCTGAGTGAGCTCGTTGAAGCTGGCGGGTACCGGCATGTCGATCACAGGCCCACTCTGAGAGGATCAAAGGAGACAGAGGGTGAAATGGTTCACTTGGGACTAAAAAATAAGTGTGAAGTTTGATAGTGGTTTAAAAATAGGCTTGTGGGTCGCAGGGCGAAAAGGTGCAGTGGCACATCCATTGTGGGCCAGATTCTGATGTCAGTCAACTGCTGTAAATCCACCAGGGGTTTCTCTCCCTTTACTTGGAATGGACCGCTACAAAATGCAAAGGGAAATTCCTTTCTCCCCCCGATTTTAGATTGAACCTACCAGATTCTGCATAATTTGCACCTAAAATCATATTGCATCAGGCTGACCTCAGGCCCCAGCCTCATCGCAAAAGGCAAATTGATTTTGAGTTTGGGATTATGTTCATGTCGCATTTATCTAACTGTTCAGAATTTACTGCTGATGTAGTTACACCAATTAGCCAGCAGGGAATGCTGAGGGATAGTAAACCTTTCATTAACACACAAGGCGGGATCTACAAGGAACTTTTACAGCCAATGTATTTGGCTGTTGTGCTCACGTTTCCTATGTAGTTATAACTCTCCCCCTGTTCACTGATGACGAACAATCACGTGCATGAATTTCAAACACTGACCTGCACACTTAGTGACGAGTGCCCATTTCTGCTCCATCAATCCCAGTCCCCTCAAACTCCTTACACACAGCGGCCACAGCGCAGGGCATGGGAGCGGCCAACTGTACAATTAGTTTGTGTTCTTTCTACAAAATGGAGCCCCAAGCCCTAAAAGGGACCTTTGCACACCTGCCATCGCATAAATCTCTTAGGCACTCCTGTAGCGTCCATTCCCATCGTATTTATCCTCGCAAGGGAGGGAATTATCCTTATTTGACAGATGGGAAGTCCAGAGACTAAGGGCCAGCTTTTCAAAAGTATTTGGGTGCCTCAAGATGCAAAGGGATGCTTAGATTGATTTTTCCAAAGCACTTAAACCGGTTAATTTCCATGGGAGTTAGGCATCTAATCTGGTTTGGTGCTTTTGAAAATCCCACTGGCTGTATCTTCAGCCACCTAAATACATTTGAAAATGTGGCCCTAAGTGCCCTGCCCAAGGATACCCAAGAAATCTGTAGTGGAGCAAGGAATTGAACCCACATCCCCTGAGCCTCGCACTAGCACCCTAACCATGGGACCATCCTTTCTCGCAAATAACTTTAGACAATTAGGCATAATCCCGTAAAGTCACTGATCATAGCAAACAGCAGTAGTATGGCTGCCAAGAATTTGGGCTGTTTGGGGCCAGATCTTCAACGGGTGGAAACTGGTGTAGCTTCACGGACACTGAGTTTGCACCAGATGACGATCTGGCCCTTTGTCTTCTGAGGACCAGGTAGTTTTTCTACAGCTACAAAAAGCGGCAAATTCAGGGGGGTTTTAAGCAAGAGGATCTCGGCGATATTGCACACTGTAAAGGATTATAACTATTCAGTGATTACAAACTATTCAATCCTGATTGAGTGCCATCCTATAAATATTAACCCCCTCCCTGCCCCAACTATTCAAAAATAATTGCATGCCTTTTAGAAAGTGTAACCAATGGTTTGCTATTTTCCCTCCAGGAATGACATAAGGAAACTCTAGAGATGGTATAATTATTTCACTATTACATGCTCTCAAATTATATTACAAAATATGGTACTCCCATGCAGTTCTCTCTCTCGCCTCTCCGAGATATATTATTTATTTCTCTAAGTGCCCCATAATTTCAGCAGCTCGCACTCCAATGGTTATTCCCCTTTAAAAAAATAAACCAAAACATATCATTACATTACACCACTTTGCCTTCTTGTATTCATAATTCTTCTGAAGTAAATCCTATATTTACTGTACACATTTTTTCATTTGGAAAAGAGTCAACATTTACTCCATTATTTGTTTTGTATTGGCTATTTGTTAGAATCATTCACTATTTCTTGTCTTTTCCAACACTGAGCATGTATAACTACTCTGGAGAGAATGGTATTAATTTCTGAAGCACTAGGACTGCTATAATCACGCTGTCTACAGTTCAATCATTCACACACTTTCCAAACTTCCTGCTTCAGGCCCTTGTGAATGAAACAGAGAAACAATAAAAGGCTGCTCAGTTTTATTGATTAGGATTTGGAAAGCATCTTGAAGATGAAAAGCGCTACTCAAATGCTAAACATTATTCATGCAATGCAGGGAGTAAACCGCAATTGATTTGCCTCAAGTTAAATCGAAAAGGGGAAGCTAAAATCACGTGCCCAGATAACAGGAAAAGAACCGTTAAGTTGTACTAGAGAAAGATCCTTTTTCTTTTTAAATTCAAATACAGTATTCACACCCGTGCCTGTTTTTCAGGAAACAGCAAGTGAGGGTCAGGATGGAAACTGATATAATGAAGAGGAACTGGGAGGAAACGGGCTCTTTTTCCTTGTCTCATTCTGATATTTATGATACTCGTTTCCTGCTTTTCATTAGAGATGGGCCTGAACCAGCCCCCTGATCCGACTCTCACAGCTCTGTTTTATCTCTGTGGAGGACTGACTTTAAAGGGTTGAAATCCTGGTGCCGGGATGTGGCGTTCTCACCCGGCTGCCCCGTTATAGAGATGGGCTCATGCTACTGGATCCAAACTCCGGGGCTGGGTTCTGGTTTGGGCTCCAAGCCCTGGAGACAAAGGCATTTAACTCACCTACAGCAGGGACCCAGTGGAGACTCCGCTCACAGGCTGGCCCGATGTCTCTCTTCGGTGGCCAAGGCCAGTGGCAGATACCCTCTTTGCCACTACTGTCCCAGAGGTGCCCCCCTCCATACCTGTCTCAGGGGCTTCCGGTACCACTGCTGCACAAACCCCTTGTCCCGCTGCGCCGAGAAGTCAGCCCTGAAGCTCCAAAGGCCATTCAGCTCCTTCAGCTCCCTGGAGGCGGACTCCCTGGGGTAGAGCATCCCTCCGCCCAGGGCCAGAGCCTGGCAGCAGAGCAGCAGTAGGCACAGAGCACAGCACAGAGCCATGCTGCTCTCTGCGAGGCAACTCTGCAAGAGGCAGTCAGCTGAGCCAGGGCCCAGCTGACTGGGAGGAACACTCACATGACTTCCAGCTGGAGGCACCTGCAGCCATCTTGCTTATGGGCTTGCCAGCCTCTCTGTGGGCCTGAGCCAGTGGAAGAAAGTGGATGTGCTCTGGGGCCAGGGGATTATAGTCTTTTACCTACACTGAGCCCAATTGCTAGTCGCTTTACAGACCAGTAAGAAGGTGAGATGTGTGGTCCCTGTCCTGGCAAGCTCACAGTCTAAATAGGATAACAAATATTTCCCAATACAACTTGTACAGAATTCGAGCCAGGTTCTGATCTCAGTTATTCAGGATTCCCCCACCCCAAGCAGTCAGAAATCATTAGGCAAATCCCCTCCTCCACATCAGAACTGTAAAATAATTATTTAGATTCATTTTTATTTATCGTCTGAGGTTTTTTTTACTCTTTCGGGTGCTTTTGGGTCATCAAGCATTTTTCCGCAACTGTGAGAGCTAGAAGTTAACTTTATTACAATAGGAAAACTGAGATCCTTGCACAGTCATGTGACTCCAGGTGCTGGGGCTTTAAGAAACACACATATCATGAGAGTTAGCAACCCTGTATATAAACCCAGAGTGACTCAACCTACATCCGAAGAAGTGGGCTGTAGTCCACGAAAGCTTATGCTCTAATAAATTTGTTAGTCTCTAAGGTGCCACAAGTACTCCTGTTCTTTTTACGGATACAGACTAACACGGCTGCTACTCTGAAACCTGTCATTAAATAGGTGGAGTTACTCTGAATTTCACTGACAATAGAAGTTTGCCACGTGACTTTAAGGCCCAAATTTATTTCCAGGCTGGTAAGAAGAGAGACATGATGTTCATTTAAAATACTTGTGAGGTGCTCGGCTACCATGGTGATGGAGGCCCCCATAAGCACATACATAGATGGATATAAACTGGTCATTAATAAATTTAGGCTTGAAATTAGATGAAGGTTTCTAACCTTCAGAGCAGTGAAGTTCTGGAACAGCCTTCCAAGGGGAGTAGTAGGGGGAAAAAAACTAAATGGCTTCAAGACTGAGCTTGAAAAGTTTATGGAGGGGATGGTATGACGAGCCTGCCTACAAGGGCATGTAGCTGATTTCCGACTGCTATTAGCAAATATCTCCAATGGCCAGTGATGGGACGCTGGAGGGGGAGGGTTCTGAGTTACTACAGAGAATTCTTTCTCAGGTGTCTGGCTGCTGGGTCTTTCCCACATGCTCAGGGGCTAACTGATCACCATATTTCGGGTAAGGAGGGAATTTCCCCCCGGGCAGATTGACAGAGACAGGGCCGGCTCTAGGCACCAGCAAAACAAGCTGGTGCTTGGGGCGGCACATTTTTAGGGGCGGCATTCTGGCGCAGGCCATGCCGCCCCTAAAAATGTGCCCCGGCCGCCCTAACTCATCTCCGCTGCTGCCGCTTGTGCGCCGCTGCTCGCCCTCCCTCCCAGGCTCTCAAACCCGGGAGGGAAGGGGAGAGCCCGAGCGGACGCGGCGCGCGAAACAGCTGATTCGCGCGCCGCTGCTCCCCTCCCTCCCAGGTTTGAGAGCCTGGGAGGGAGGGGG